AGTATATTATAGATTTTACTATTTCTTATTATAGGTAATACTATATCATTCAGGTCTAATAATCCAATTATTGTTCTTGAGACTGTTTTGAATTTCTTCAAAATTTCAATAAACTATGCTATAAATAAAGTCAATCTGCTCAAGCTTTGAACTGGAAAAATACAGCCTGTGATTTTAGTAAGTTCTGAAGAAGTCACAAAGTTATCTGCAGTGAAATGATTTTGTAATCACGTTCATTCATTCAAATGCGTTTATGTGATGTTGCTGCTTTCTATTGTTCACAAACTGTTTGATCTATTTCCATATTCTCATAGATATTTTCCTCCCTTTTGAAGACTGGAAATCATAAAAAGCTGTCCATAACAGCTGCTTTGAGGTCATCTACATTTGCTAGCTGCAGGTGGAAATCTCCTTCACAGGACCTTAAATAGAAGGTTGTAAAATTTGGCCTTTGAGGGAGCCAGACAGTACCAGACTTTCGTATAATTTATCATCCACAGAGCGTGTTAAGGTGCTTTTGATCTTTGAAGGCAATATCTTTCAAAGTAATGTGGAGCTTATATGTGACCACTTGTCCTTTTTAGAAATTGCAGTATCACGCTGATTTCAATGATGAGTGAATGAATTTTTAAGATGGCACACTGATGACTTAGTTTCATTGAAAGACCCTACATGCTGTTGATATCCAGTTGGGAGGGTGAACTGAAAGTGTGTGAATGGTGCTTTGAAAACAACAAAACATTAAGATATTGTGAGATATCTGATTAAGATAATTTCAATCAAATTTGTGAAATTCTTGAGTTCATGGAATATTAAAATTCTTTGCCACCTGCAAAAATAAGAGGGGTGTTAACCATGAAGAGAGTTTTAAAATACATTTCATATTATTATTATTTGCATTTTCAGGGGTAGAACTTAAACTTGTATTTCAGAGGTAGATCTTTAAATTTGGTGTCGCAGAAAAAGTGGGGGAAATTTATAGACTTTGGTTTATAGAGACTTGAAGACATTTTTCATCCTTCTGGTATTTTATTCCTGTCAGTTTGTATTGCATCTTTCCTTTCCTTCTCCTCCTCCGCCAGGTTTGGTTTTGAGTTTTGGATTTCGAGAAACCCCAAAGTCAAAACAAAAAAGAGCCAGAATTGCTGACTCTTGTTTTGTAACCTTTTTGAGTTCAGTATTCACAGGAAGAACGGGTGCTCACCAGACATCAGGCCTAACTTCATCCAAAACACTGGCAAAAATCAGGGACTTTTAAGTGAACTTGAGCCAAATTACAGATATATACCAAAAACTTAAATAAGTTTGTAAAAATTTTAAAATATAATTTAATAAAATAATGCCACCATATAACAAGAAGATTGAGTACTTAAAGTTCAATATTAATCTGTCAGCTATTTTTTTATAAAAATAAAAATTTAATTTCTACTTTGTGTTAAAGAAAATCTGGTTAATTTAAGCTATAGGTCCATTTTGGACCTATAATGTAAAATGTGTTTAAGTGTTCTCATTAATTTTGATTATTTTCGTTGAAGATTTGTAATTACCAAAAGAAAGTTATGTAAAAACTATGCTTATCGAGTTTCATCTCAGTATTTTTATAGCTATGCTATAAACCTTCCACAATAGTGCTTTTATAATGGAAATGCTGACAAATGCAATAATAAACACCCATCCAAGGGTTTAATTGTATGGTCATACAGGAATTATGCACACCAGCATAATATTTGATTCAGTTTCCAGTGTTAATTTTGCCAAAATCTGCTTTCACATTGGGTAACTGTAAAAGATGATAGGTTTGAACGGCTGCCTGTTGATGGCAAAGGCTTCTGATTATTTTTACTTTCCTTGGAAAGCCTGATTATGTCTTTCAAATATGATTTCATTTAGGTTTTTTTTGGTTTACATGTCTGAATACTAATAGTAACCTGATAGTTATAGGGAACTTAGTTTGAGACTAAAAGGCACTTTTTCATCAGTAAGTAGTGCATAAATAAATTAACCTCCAAGCATCATTTAAAATGGCATTTAGATTCCAAATGACCAGATAACTTTAAAATTTCAAAAAGTAATTACTACAATTTTACAAAAATGCTTGACACCCTTAGGATTCCTTTTTCTGATAGAAGTTACTGAAAACTAAAGTGTAATATTTCTATCAATGTTGGTTTAGAAGACAAAAAGTAATTTAAAAAATTAATGTGGTGTGCCCAATATACTAAAAATCATGTGCCCCAACAAAGTACACTGAATGGCTCTAACATGAGGAAATTGAAACTATCACTTTGCAGAGAAAAGCCGAGTGACAACATATGGAGGTATAAAAGATTCATATTTGAAATGCATACTATTTTTTTCTTTTCTCTATGAGTGATTTGGTATAATATATATCAGTCCATTTGTGCTGTAGCTGATTACTTGACTTTAAATTATTCTATTAGTATAATGGAAAAGAAAATTCCTTTAATAAAACTACATTTTAAATAGCTTCTAAGTAGGCAGAAACTTAAATAAAAAGCATTTATAAGTTCTAACCATTTTAAGAATGATGGACATGTACTAGCAAAAATAATAAATAATGAAGGAAGTATTTTCTCATTTTAGAAGTTCTTCAGGTAATATTTACTATACTGAACTCTTAGTCACTGCAGATATTCTGTACTTACTAAGTATTTAACAGAATGATTCAGCATATGAAGGAGAAGATTAAGGCTTATGGGGTAATTATATTCACTCTTAATGACTCAATAGTTTTGAAGTCTTTTTTGTACAGTTTTGCTGTCATTTCTGGTTGTCAAAATTGGTTCTTTTTACAGAATTGAGTGATTACCCCTTACTTCAACTTGCAGTTTTTTTAAGTGATGTTTAATTACCAGGAGGATGTAGAGTGGGAGAAAGAAGGGAGCTTCTGTAAGTCTTTTCAGTTTTGAACCCATTAACACCAAGTAAAATGTTAAGCATATTTCTTTATTGAAGGAGTGAATAACTAGATAAACTAAGAAATGGGGGAACATAATACAGTTTGTATTGAATTTTCTTATATCATATTGAAAATGAGTCTTTGAATTACACACTTAATCTAAAAAAATACAGGTATGCTACTCTATAACAGGCAAAAGGGTGTTTAGAAAAAGAAGAGGAGCAAAAAAGCAAAGAGAGTAATTTTATATCATAAAACTAGAGAGGCCATTTCCTATATAAGTTTATATTGATAAAAGTGCTAAAGGATTAAAAAAAAACACTGGTTTTGTGTTAGTCTTAGATAAATTTATTTATCTTAATTTTCTTTTGGTAGAGGTGGAAAAAAATCCTGATGAAAAGATAAAGGCAAAATAAAAATTCGTATTTGGGAGGGGAGTTATTTTAGAGTAATCTACTTCCTATAAGTGGGATAACTAGGAAAGTTTTAAATGAAGGCTCTTGAGAAACAATGCTGGCTGGAGATAGTGAGAAGTGGCAGAACCTACCTGGAAGAAAATCTGACCATTTATAGCCCAAAACTTATATGTTTACTTGGTAAAGAAATTTCACTTCATTTCCTAATATCAGAAAATTATCATTGGCAAAAAAGGTATTTATAGAATTGCTTTTGTAACATTTTTTATTTCTTTAATGAGGAAATATTTTAACTACCCACCTCAAAGGATTGAAGTTCTAATACACAGATATGACAATAAAATTCATTAAACAAAATTACGTTTAAATAATACTTAAGGTCAAGGGCAAAGTGCTCACTCTAAAATGTTGAATGAAAAAAATCAACGCCCAAAAGTATCTCAACTTTGCAAAATATTGAATTTATACCTGCACAAGAGAAAAAGAAAAGACTATAAGGAAATAGATTAAAATGTTAACTGTATGTTAATATGGAGCAATAAATTTTCTTACTTTTAAAACTTTTCCTCCAAACTTTCTAGGACGAGTATATATTACTTTTTTAATAAAATGAATTGCATTTCTATAAGTATGATAGAATTGTGTGCGTGCACGCGCGGGTGCGAAAGCAAGGAGTGACAAATTGTTGAAATGACTGAGGATTTATACTTTAGGGTAACAGAATTTACAGTACGATGGGCATTATACACTCCTGATCTCCTCATCCTCGCCTATCGGGACTCCATTGATAGCAGGTCACCCAGAATGCAGAATTGCAGAATGGGAGACTCTAAACTAGAGGTGAGCTGAGGTCCCGCTGCACGGGTCTGTTTCAATAGTATTTCTAACCGCAGATGTTTATTTTGCAAAACAGAACGCGTCTCATTTGATTTTGTGCCTCCTCAGCCCTAACATGCAATCGCTCTCTTCCTTACCCATTGCTAAAAAAAAAAAAAAAAAAAAAAGAAAGAAAGGAAAAGCGCCCTCAGGCGGGCACTGCTCCTTAGTAGACCCCGCAGTTTTCTGGAGGCCACAGGGTAAATAATGGGGGGAGGGGGGGGGCAGGGGGAGGGTGGGTGCGTTCTGAGGGCGGGAAAGGGGCAAAGCTTGGGGCGCCAAGGCACCCTGCAGACCCATGAGCGCCACCCAGACATCCAGCGCACCACCTACGCACCTTTATGATAAAGCTTTGGGCCCTTAGAAAAACTCGAACGTTGCTGTTGATTCTTCGCGTTAAGGGGCAAAATTTGCGTTCTGGTAGAGTGGGGGTTGAAAAGAGAAAGTTAGAAAGCGGGAAAGAGTAAAGAGAGAAGTAAGTTCTTCCTCTGAAGTCGCACTTTTCAGCTTCTCTTCTAGACTTTTCTTTATTCATCCCTCTATCTCTCCACAAAAGGAGGAGAAACGGATCTCCTAACTTGTCATCTAGAGCTCCCTGGCCTCTCAGGAGGGGAAGGGATGTAGCAACTTACACCTCTGCAGGTGTCTGCTTTCTAAGAGCACAGCAGGACAAGAACTGCCGGGAACGCGCAGCACTGAGTCTAGAGGCTTAAAAAAAAAAAAAAAAAAAGTGACGTCTACTTTACTTTTCTATTAATAAAAATGGCAAGGAGGAGAGACGAATTTTAAAACCCCTAACGCTACCATTTTCGAAGAGGATTAGCTTCCCATCTACTCCGACTGTATAAGATACTTCAGTGCGCTGGGTTAGGCAAACTGCTCTAACTTGCTCGCTTCGCTCCTGATTGAAACTGGTTTAAGGAAGTCGCATATACAGTAACTCTACGCTGCTGCTTCTCAAGGGCAGAAGGGATTTTGCAATCTAGAATCAAGCTCCAGAAAGAGAGACTTAGATTTGGAGCGCCCCGCCTGGCCTGTCAGCTTTCTCCACTGCGGGGGGTCCAGAAACACCCCAGCCAGCGCACTCTCAGGCGACGAGGGGACAGATACCGCCATCCCACCCCGGCTCAGCCCGTTTCCTTCTTCTCGCCGTTCTCTAAGAGCTCAGTCATGAAGGAAATGTAGACGATAGCCAAACGTAGAGTCTCGATCCTGGACAGCCTCTTCTCATAAGCAAAAGTGGGCACCTTTCTCCGCAGTTGGTCGAAGGCCTCATTGAGGTTGAACATCCTCTTCCTTTCGCGGATATTGGCGGCTTGGCGCTGGGCAAATGTGATCACCCTTTTCCTCTTGGGGCGGCACAGCAGGGAGGGGTTTCTTCCATGCTCCTCTTCTTCCTCCTCCTCCTCCTCCTCTTCTTCTCCCTCCTCCTCTACTGGGCCCCCCTCCTCAAAGCGCGCCAACCTCCTGGGTCTATCCTCTCGGAGTGCAAAGTCTTGGTCCCCAAAGCGGACCCCGGGCGCGAAGTCACAGAGAAGAGGGTGCCCCGAAGTGGCCAAGGACAAGTCTGCGACGAAGTCCAGCACGGAGCTATCCACGCAGCTCTCTGGATAGACCGCCATAACGTTGCCTTGGTTCCGCGTCTCATCGGTTTTACTCAGGGAGGGGTAAGACTGGTGATGTGCTTACTAATAGTCTTAAATTCGAATTAAGCACCATCACTTAAGACCCAGAGGACTTTAATATGTTAAGCAAGCTGATAAAAGGATTAGTCGCACCTTTAGAAGCTCTGAAAAATCACTCCTCTGGAAACTGATGGAGGAAGACAAGCTTGAGCACTATTGGAAGTCTGAGGAAACAGATCTCCAACACTGAGCTCCTTTTTGCTGCACCACCTGGAACAGTTCCTTCTTGGCAACAACCCCCAGTTCTTACCTGCTGTGTTTTTTGTGTCCTTCCTCACCCTGCAGTCAACTGATGTTCTTCAGGCTCCTTATCTCATTTAGCTCCTTAATTCACGTTAAACTTTTCAAAGCGAAGGTGTTTTCCACTGCTCTGGTTTCTCCTTGGCTTCAGGGTAGGAGTTCTGCCACCCGAGGCTGCCAATGAGTGTGAAACAAGTGCATGTGCTTTTAATGATGTCCTGAAGAGGGGCCCTGCCTGCCAAGGGTCAGGGGAGCTGTTTGTCTGGTATCCCAGTGCAGCGGCTGCTGAAAGGCAAGACCTTCCATTAGCTTAAGTAAGCACGGTAGGGGAGCTAAGAGCGCATTCCCCAGAGTAGCTGTTGGAACCGGCTTTCTCCTTCCAGGGCACGGTAAACAGGTCTCCAGCAGCTTCACAAACCCTGACTTCTAAAGTCTGTTTTGTTGTAATCAGCCTAACAATTGAGATACTTGACTTTACTTTCCCTATCCTTTATCTCCTACTCGCTCAGAGGATTTTACTTCAAGGACAATAGTTATGGTGGCAAATAAAAAGTGCAGGCTCAGAATATTTTCTTCAAGGATGCTTTACTGTATTATTTCCAATCTGGGAGGAAAGGGAGAAGAAAACCCTCCCCCAAACAAAACAAACTCAATCTTCTTTCAAATGTGCAATCTTACTTTGCTAAACAATGGGTTGATCAGTTCAACCTCTGTTGCTGATCAGCATTTTTGAATAAAGAAAAATTCTGATACTTCCATTAGATTTATTTTCCTACTTGATTTGTATCTCCTTAAGGACTTAAGAAACGAAGTGGTGTTTCATTGAATTTAAGGAAGAGTTTGGTTTATTCAGTTCATTTTTTTGAAAAAATATTTTAAATTTGTCACAATTAAGATGAAATTTTGCTGATTTCATATTATTTCTGATATTTTAACAAAGAAGCTATTCTTTGCCAGTAGCTGTATTCCTTTAATTGTTCAGTGTAGGACTGAAAAAAAAAAAAAGACATGGTGGGGGCAGGGTGACATAGATTAGAAGAGATAGCTTTTTAAAAGAAAAGTATGGAGGAGTCTTGGTTAAAGGAAGAATCGCTCTGGACATGATTCCTATTAAGAAGGCAAATGTTACTGTGAAGTTTAGTTAGTACATTGGACAGCTCCCAGAGACCTCCTATTTCTGACAGGTAAGCACAATTTCTTTTCTTCCTGGCCTCCTAATGTGTACTACCAGATATTGCTTTGATTAAACAGTAGCATGTTAAGTTTTTCATTTTCTTAACTCCTTTCATCTTGGCTCTCTCTTGTTCTTTTTTTCTGTTCATTGATTTTCTTGGTGTGTTTACTGTTCACGTTCCAATTTGCTTTAATAGGCAGAAAACATAAAAAATTAGATTCTTAGAAGAGTTAATGAGAATTATATAGATTATTATAATGATTTATTTGTTTTTACTAAACTTCTTTCAAAGAGAAGACTGAAGCTTTAGAATAAATTGGAATTTCAACACCAGCTAAGGAATAAATGAGATATTAATTTTTGTTCTGACAAGCAGTAGCATGCTTTCTTACCACCGTTTAACTTAACATGGTATTAAATATTGGGGCAAATTTTAGAGCTGAATTTTAGTTGGTAAGCATTTCGCAGTGATTTGTATTTTTCCTTTTCAGAAAATACACTCATTTAATACATAATGGATTAAATATCTCACCCAGTGAGAGACTATTTCTAAACAAAATACATTAGGACACTTAATGAGGAAAAATGATAGGAATTTGCTTTAAATTTATTAAAATAAGAGTCCTGGTTATTATGTGACTATATAAGTCACATAAATACTTAACAATTTTAGCCAAGGAAATGAATATTCCAACAACCATTTCACAAGAGAATTTGCAACAAAATGAAGGTAACCAACATGCAGCATTGGGTTGACATACCAATTTTAAATATTAAGAAATTTAGGAAATTTTTATATGTAGCAATAATTTTAAAATATTTTCTCTTCATTTTCATCACAAAATCCAAAGATAACCGCTGCTGTTATATTGGAGTAATTTCAGTTTATCTTGCAAATTTCTAATAATGGTGACATAATTCGAACAGAAATGTTAAAAATCTATGCTTTGGTGGTGATTGACTTTTTTCTTTGTAAGTATAACTAGATATAGAACAAGAAAGTACAATTCTGTTTCTCTGCTTATTTTAAAATACCTATTTTATTTAAAAGACTTTTGTAGATATGTGCTCCCTGTTATTATAAGCAGTAAACATAGTAAATTAAAAAATAGTGATTTAAAAGTTACCCCCCTTAAAGAAACAATATTTTCTTTTCTAGATCTGAAAGTTAAGAGAGAAACACTTTTCAAAAAAAGAAAAATAACAACTGAGGATTAAAGCAAGTTAAATCAATTTGGTTATTTTGTGTTCTAGGCTCATAGTTTATATAATTATCCAATGACTTTATTTAGTCTTTCAAAGAAAATTTGATTAGCCAAAGACAAATTTTGCTAAAGATGTTTTGTGAAATGACAGTTCTTCCTAGTTTACAATCTACTCTACCTCTATTGGCCATTGTAATTAAACATTAAACATTTTGTGTGTAATATTATTTTAGACTCAGAATCAAAGCAGAAAAAAACAAATGGCCAAAAGTAACTTGGGCAATAATTCACAAGGTGTCTGAAAGATGACAGTGAGAGTGATAAGCAGAAAATGGTAGATAAAAGAAGAATCCAAGAAATAAAACAAGTACTGAACTCTCGCTTCTTATGCCCCTTTTCTTACTTTTTTAGAACCATTAAGTAATTCTAGAGAAAATGATAAAATAGAAGAAAGGTAGATGGATATAATGATTGATTGAAGGAGAGAAAGTTCTAAGAAATATCCCCTCAGCTGTCAGAGAGAAGGAGCTTACATGCTTTTTCCCTCAATTTTTATAGTCCTGATGAATGGCATTTAAGATAGTTTTCAGTTTTGACAAATGACAGTGCTATAGATACTGCTGTACATATCTTTGCTAGGAACTTTTATGCATTCCTTTTAGGTATAAGCCTACAGCTGTAATAGGTTTTGTATATAATAGGTTTTAGTAGTTATTAGTAAATCATATTTTAAAGGATTTCCAGTGATGTAGAGTATTCCAGTTTCTTCATAAGTTGGCACTGGCATTTTTGAGCCATTCTGAAGATATGCAAGAGTATCACATTGCGGTTTTGAGCTACATTTCTCTGATAAATGCAATTGAAAACCATCTCATAGCAATTAAGTAGGACTGTATCCTTTGTAAAGTGCTGAAATGTGTTGCTAAATTTTATAATTTGTATTTATTTGTATACATGTTCTAGATATGAGTGTTATCAGATATAGGTATTTCATATATCTTCTATTACTCTATGACTTTCCTTTCCATTTTCTTGATAATTGTCTTTCAATTAAAAGTAGTTTTCCTTCAGTTTTATTATGACTTAAAAATTTAAACTTAATGTAAATTTAAGCTTTGCAGCAGAATTGAGGGAAAGATAGAGATTTACATGCACATACAAATAGTTTACTTTATTATCAATAACTCACACCAGAGAACTTTATTACAACTAATGAAGTACACAACAGAATTACTAAAATTAATAGTTTATTAACAAATATTTAGCTGCCAGATTTGGCATTTACTTTTGGTATATTCTATGGATTTGGAAAAATATATAAAGAGACATAGCAATCATGATGTCCTAGAAATTTCCTGCACTCTGCCCATTCATTTTCCTCTTCCTCTACCCTTTAGTAATCACTGATCTTTATACTTTCTCCATAGTTTTGTATTTTCTAGCATGTCATACAGTTGGAGTTATACAGAATGAGGACTTTTCAGACTGGCTTCTTTCATTGAGTAATATGCATTTAGAGTTCCTCCATGTTTTTAGGGCTTGATAAAGCATTTAGTTTTTACTGCTGAATATTATTTCACTGCCTGGATAGAATTACTAAATTATTGTTCAGTGGCTTCCAAATTTTAATAATTATGAAAAAATGATGTAAACCTCTATGAGCACATTTTGTGCAGACATTAAGTTTTCAACTGCTTTGGATAAATACCAAGGAGCACAACTGCAGAATTGTAAGATAAGACTATATTTCATTTATAAGAAATTGCTAAATTGCCTTTCAACATGGCTATAACTATTGTGTATTCCCATGGGTACTGATTGAGGGTTCCTGTTGCTCTTTATCCTTTGGTAGAAAGTTTTTAGTTTTAATATATGACAAACTGTATATATATAGTATATAGATAGATATAAGTATCTATCTATATATATATATACACACACACACACATATAAACTACATGTAGTATATATGTACTATATATATATATATTCCTCTTTAGTACTCTTCATGTCATGTTTAATAAATCTTAACTTCAAAATCATGAAAGATATTGTTTTATATTTCATTTTAAAACTTGTTATTTTTCCTCTTACATTTAGAAATTTAACCAACCTAGACATGATTTTTATGAGGTAGGTATTAGTAACAGAAGGGGTGATCAAGATTTATTTGCGTTTTAACTGGAGGTCAAATTAATACAGCATAATTTATTATTGAAAATACCATTCTTTCTTCCTTCAACATTCATTTTATTAAAATATTTACAAACTAAGTATTACCTTTTCTTTGCTTCAAATTTCTAGGGAAAATATCATGAAATGTAAAAGGAATTCTTTTCTAGGTTTTATCTATATTCAGACTTAAGAAATTCTTGCTTACATACAAGTAACTTGTTGCTATTCTCATTATAATTCTGAGTTCAAATGAAACTAAGGGCTTCCCCCAAATATTGTAGGTTAGGGAGGCAAATAGTAAATAATTGAGACATTTTACAGGTCATACAGTCTTTGTTGAATTACTTTGCCTTTGTAGTATGAAATTAGCCACAGGTGATATGTAAAAGAAGACTGTTCTCTAAAATTATTTACAACATTTGGAAGTTGGCTAGATTTGGCCCTTGGGCTTGAGCTTGCTGACTCCTATCCTATTTAATAAGTTTATTTCCACATGGAGATAAGGCACTCAAAAATATATATGCAGATTAAATTGTTGACCATGCATCTTATTTA